TGGTATAATCTACGCATACCCTCCATTTCCCATTCTTCTTTTGAACGACTACTACATTTGAGAGCCATTGCGGGTATTGCACTTCTCGAATGAATCCTGCTTGTAATAGTTTATTTACTTCCTCGGCTATTATGCGATTCCGTTCAGGTGCGAACCGTCGGTGCCTCTGCTTGACTGGTTTGAACTCTGGGTTAACCCTCAGACTATGGCATGAGACTGCAGGATCGATCCCCACCATGTCCGAGTGATCCCAGGCAAAGACATCCGAATTGCACCGAATGACCCTGATCAATGCTTCTTTCTCTTCGGCTGTGCAAGATGAGCCAATGTAGGTGATCTTCTGGGGGTCTCCGAGGACTACCTCTACAGCTTCGAGGGACTCCTCGGTAGGTGCTTCAACTTCGGCTTCCTCCTCTGCCTTGAGATACTTGGGCAGAGGATACTGTAACTGCTATTTGATCGTGTCTTTGGGATTCGCCTCTGACTGAGGTGACTTTGACGCTTTCTTTGCTTCATGTAGCGTTAGCATGTAACATTCTTTTGCAGCAACCTGGTCTCCCAAGAGGTCGATGACCTCTCTGCCATCCGGGGATAAACACCTCATTACTTGGTGAAGTGTAGAGGGGACTCCGTTCATACGATGGATCCAACCTCTCCCCATAATGAGGTTATAAGATGGATGAATTTCTGTTACGACGAAGTTTTCCTTCAGAGTCCTCTTTGCTGCAGTAACGGATAGATCAATCACCCCGAGCGGATTCACCTTAGTACCATCAAATCCCATTAGGGGGCTGGAAGTTGGCCTGATGGACGATGGTGAAACCCCCAACTGATCAAAAGCTATTTTTGTAATGATGTTGGCGCTACTTCCCGGATCTATCAGCACTCTCCTGATCATGTAATTCGCTACCAGGAGGCTGATGACCAAGGGGTCCTCATGCGGGCGCTGGACTCTAGAAAGATCATTGTTACCGAATCCAATGTTGATGCTACCTGGCGCAACCGTGTTGACCGAAGACACTCTTCGTAACTTATGAGCCTCTCTCAGCCTGGATCTGTACAACTCTTCAGACTCTTCATCATCCTCTGACCTTCCGTGTATAGCATGGATAACCTTTACCTGACCGCCCTCTACCCGTCGAGGGTTAACCTCCCGAGGTTTTACGTACTCCTTCGTGGCGAGATACTCCACCAATTCTCCTCTCGCTATCATGCTTTCTACTTGTCGCTGTAGGGACCTGCAGTCATTGGTGGTATGCCCATAATCTCTATGGTAGGCACAATGTTTGCTTTTGTCCCTCTGCTCCAAGGGTTGCTTCATGGGCTGAGGAGTCGCGAACCTCGTCTTATTCTCTTGGAATAGGCGCGCCAAGGTAGTACGGAGAGGGGTAAGCCTGTCCTCTGTCCTTCGCCTTTTCTCAGACGCTTGGGTGACTTGTGTGGCGGTATGAGGAACCTTCTGCATCCTTGTACTCGCAGCTTTCTCTCGAGACTTGTTTTCCACCGTGACGAGGGTAGCGTGCTGTGCACGGTGGGCTACGTTTTCCTCCAACCGGATGTAGATTTGTGCCCTAGCGTTCAAAGTCTGCATATCCGGGGGGGAATATTTAACCAAGGATGTGTGAAACTTGGTTCCCTGGATCATTGCCAACTTAAACGTTTCGATTGCCGTGGCAGGATGGCAATCTGCTATCTCCGAGGCCTCCATGTTAAACCTGGATAAAAAATCTTGCAAAGTTTCTCCCTTCCTTTGCCTTATGGTGAAAAGGCTGGCGATACTTTTCTTCTGCTTCTTATTTCCGCAATACTGGGCTAAAAACATAGTGCACAAGGTCTCATAGTCAAGGATAGACTTGTGTGGCCTATTCCTGAACCATTCTAACGCTGCTCCGGTTAAACTGGTAGGAAAAACCTTACACATTCACGGATCGTTATGATCGTCCAGTGCCATCTTTTGCGCATAATGATCGAGATGCCGAGAGGGGTCTCCTGCCCCATCGAACTGGGTGAAGGATGGCATAGTGAACTTCTTCGGCCTCTCCACAAGGTACACCTCGTCAGTAAAGGGGGTCTTGACCAAGGAGTTCTTGTGCTCTCTAGCCATCTCGGCTGGTGTCTGGACTCTCAAGAGCTTCTTTTCGTCGAAGGCATCTTGTACACGTGCGCCATCTGGAACGCCATTGGACCATACCGTAAGCCTATGGCTGGACTCGGCCTGTTCGTCCTGTATGCGATGCGGGAGATTATTCGAAGCAACCGCTTCGGACCTCGTCCCTTGCTTTTGCTGAACCTCACTAGGTCGAGCCCCGTTGGGTGGTGTCTCGTTGGCTAGAGGCTCGTGAACTGGAGGTAAATTCCGGGTGGGGGGTGGTGCCGTAGCATCGCCTGGTGGTGGTTGTGGCGTTAGCCTGGCCATGGCCGTGTGCAGCGTATGAGTCTGCTGCTGAAGCGCAGCTATCTGGGCGACACTCGTATCGTTTACTTGCCGGAGTGTCTCAAATTGGTGCAAGAACTCTTCTCGCATCTTTTGCATCAATTCTATCTGTTGATTCATTGCTGACTCTCCGTTTGACATTCCAGACATGATTAAAGGATTTAATTTGAAGAACAAGTGGGAGTATATTTCTATATGATTCCCACAGACGGCGCCAAAGTGTAGGTGCAAAATTTCGCCCAACCAATAATGATTGAGAAAAATAAAACAACTCACTCAAAAACAATAAAAATAAATAAGAACAGTGTGTAGAGAAGCGTAGAATTGCTTGATCCTTTATTGGAGGTCTTAGCCTCTATTTATATACAAAAGATTGCAAAATTATGGTAGGACTCGCGTTGCTTGCCCTCCAATTCTTTCTATATAACCATTCTTTTCTAATAGAGTTCTTTCCATTGTCGAATCTTCCATACATAGAAATTGCCTTGTACAGAACTTCCTATCCGAATTTTCCTTCTACCGTAAATCCTTCAAATGGTACGATTTGTGCATTCTTGGGCTGAATATATTTTGATCCGGCTGGGCTTGGGTAACAGGCCGGATGTTAAATACTCATACGCTGGGCTGACGACAAGCTGGGCTGATGACTTCTTGATTCGGCCTTGATGGAAGTTGGAGGATAAATAACAATGGTCTTGGGCTGTAAATACCCTCAATTTGGGCTTGAGCATGATGGGCCTTATATGTCCTTGGAATGTAGATATGGGTAGTGGTGACGTGTGCGCTTTTTATTGGAGGGAGTTTTTTTCCCTCCACAATATATATTCGCAGTGACCTAGAAAATCAAACCCCCAAATTAAACAACTCCTCTGAGTTCATCCCATCCAAATGCATAACCACGGGCTCAGGCTATATATGTTGGAGGTTGGGTTGGGTCGAGCCTGTCCGAATTGTTTCCCAAAGTAAGAAATCTTAAAAAATAGAAAAGAAAAAAGAACTACTCAATTTCACACTGCAAGATTGAAGTAAATCAAACTCAAGATTATTTTAAATCTGCTTGGGATAATTAATTATAAGAAAACTAATATTGAGCCTTTTTTTTTTTTTTTTGGGAATTTTAAGCAAATTTGTTAAATAAAAGGAAATAATTACACGAGTGGGCCTATTGGGCAAAAACCAAATGAAGGAAAACAAAAGCCCAAAAATTAGCCCAACAAGGAAAAGGCCCAGGACCAGTTTCAACCTAATAACTGCAATTAACGGCTTGTTTGGCCGTTAATTGAGGGTATTAGTGAGCAATCCGGTAAGAAGCCCTAGGGAAGATGATGATCGGTGAAAATTGAGCTTGCTGGACTATGATTGCGAGTAACTAATGAAATAGAATGAGTCTAGTCTACCCTCACTCAAACTGATTAGGTCATTTAATAACATGGAGGGCAACAGCACCGGAAAGAGTGGCCTTTTAGAAGGTTATGGTGTTGAACAGTATTAGGTGGATTAGGGTTTGAATTTGAAGGGAACTTTGTCGGCTCTACTCCCTTCACACCCTCCTTCTATTCCTTATAAGTTTATAATAATATTCTAATTACTTTGACAAGTTATTAGAACATCGTGATCTAATTAAATTGGTTTGTCCAAAATTGTGACCTAGTCAAAGTGAATTAAGCATTTTAATTAACCTACTTTTGACATTAAGGAAAAATTCTGAATTTACATTTGAATTTTTAGTTGAATTGTACTTACCAATGCAATAAAGTTCAAAAACTTGTTCAATGCTTGGATAAATAGATAGCATTAAGCATGCTGTCCAAAATAAGTGGACATATCAATTTGTCGAACATGAATTTTGAAGTGATCCTCTTAAGAATATCAAATCATATTTAAAAATGTTGTATTGATTTTAATATTTATTAAATATTTTATTTCTCCAAAAAATTGCATTCGCTGTATTTGCTCTGCAGGAAAGGTGGTGGTGTTGTTACTTGCAGTAAGAAAGGGTGGTGAGGATTGGAAGGACATATATCAGATTTGTCTGGTGTAATATATATATATATATATTTAGGGTCATATCAATTTTAAAATAAAAAATAATATTTTTTATATTTAATAGTTGTAGTAAATTATTAGACTTAATTTTTAAAAAAAAAATTATTAAATCAAGTAATTTATTACAACAATTCGAGGTAAATATTACTACTTTAAAATAAATAATAGAGATCTATTAATCTTTTAACTTGAGTTTTCTATGGCACTGTTCTTTTAATTTTGATGCAGAGGAGTTTAGATGACTAGATATGCTTTATCTAATTAAATTATTTTATTTTATTTTATTTTTTTGATAATTAGGAGGACCCGAATACAGATGAATCATGTACCATACAATATGATATGCTTCACGAATCCCAAAATTAATCATCGTAGGGGTGTAATTTGTAAACAAACTCGTGTGGACTTACTCCTGCAAAGTACCTTAGCCTACCCTTTGTACAGTTGTGGAGACAGAATTATACCAACGGTTGGCTGACACGTGTCCCGACTCTGCGCCTTTTTCATACCCACAGAAAAACCCTAGAGTATCTAGAATTTACCCTTGAATCAGTGATTGATTCCAATAGAGGTGGTAGGTGCAGCTTTCATTGCTATTCCTTTGTTTTGATCGATATTTACCTTCACCCATCACACATCGTATCAATGGCCTCCAAAATCCTCACCGTTGCACAGATCCTCCTCCGATCAAGCCGTTCATGGACGGCGTCCGCCTCTCCTGTCGCCGGCCGTTATAACTCATTCTGTTCATCCGCCGCTCCCAGCGACCACACTCAGTCCCAGTGCTCCAGAGGAAGAGGTAATGAGTCGTACTCATCAGCTCCATCTCTCAGAAACTCTTTCTATTTAGTGATTTTATTGACTCCTTTCTTCACTGTGTTGTGATTCATTTCCATTCATGTGTGTGTGTATATATATATATAGCTCTTCAGTCCTCTTTGATGGGGCGCATGACACACCCGTTCCTGATTCAAGGTCTGAGAGCAATGGGTAATGTGGAGGAATATGAAGCAGAGGCTATTGTGAAAGTTGACATGCCTGGGATTGGGAAAGACGGTCTGGATGTAAAGGTCAAAAACAACGAAATCCATATCAAAGGAAAATCAGAGATTGATCCTGAAGAGGACGAGCGTATCGCAGAGAGGATTTACACCGGCGTAGTTGATCTTCCTCCGGGCTTTTACAACACGGACGACATCAAGGCCACCTTGAAGCTCGGTATTCTGAAGATGGTGATTCCTAAACTCCGACCTGAGGAGATGGAGGACCCAACTCTCATTCCGCCGCCGATCGGATTTCGTGCCCGGTCACCACAGAAATGAAACGTGTAAAGGATTGAATTAGGTAGTTCTTAATTATATGAACAAAGAATTTGGTTTATTTTTTTTGTATTTGCTGCTATATATATATGTTAATTTTGTGTTGATGCTGTTTTTGGCTTCTTTAATTTAAAATCTCTTAAATCATTTTACTTCTCTATATTTTATTTTTATTACTCGTGTGTGTGTATGTATAGTATAATTGCATTTTTAATGAAGGTCTGCTGTGTTTTGATGCATTTTATGTGGTTCCAATTAGTGTTACTTTTCTTGGGTGCAGAATGGATGAAATGAAGAGGTTGGAGGGAGCTACTAGCTGTTTTGGGAGATAAGATACCCAAGTTTACTGGTTTTGGTATGATAGAGGGTGGTTCAAAAACTGAGAAAGGTGAGCATTTTGTGTTGTTTCTGTTTAGTCTTCACATTAAAAATAAGTATGTACACAGCTTTTTGTTTGTAGTTTTCTGTTTTAATCAACACTTTTGTTATATGGCTGGGTGTGCCATTCACCATTGTAAATCGAATCTCTTTGGTGTCTGATCAGTTACCTTTATTAATTTAGTATCTCTAATCTGATTCTAAGCAATATGGCCATAGTATAGTCTATAGAGGAGAGGGCACTCCTGAGCTTTACTGGTCATGTTTAGTGTCCTAACACTGATTATCTATGGTATGATCAACTATTCCAATACTGGGACTTGTTAACAAATAGCTCAAAAGCCTTGATCCAATATGCAGGAAATACGAAAATCGGAGGAGTGAAAGGAATGAGTAGAGTTAATTGCACCTTTAGATCTTTCCATGGAGAAAGAAGCTTTGGATTATGAATATAGCAATAATGAACAGGGGTGGCATGTCTCTTGTCATATTCTACCTACCTATTTTCAGTCTTAATAAGTGACTTAGATTCAACTAATTTATTAATTTCTTTCTACCCTCTTTATTGGATTGAGATGGAAGGGTTAATTGTTTGAAGCTCCTGAAATATAAAATATTTACACAACACCTCTTACACTCAAATTTTTTAGTTGTAGCCATCCTGAATTATATTTATTTTGTATGTGACATCCCTTCTGCCAATCTACTATTAAGAAATACATGTTGAAGTATAGATTTTTATTTTTATTTTTTAATTTCCAATTTAGCTTTTTTGACTAATTGGATAAATCATTTAGAACTATAATTTTTTTTGCACATTAATCTCATACAAACATTGTTATAATTCAATCTTTTTTTAGAGTATAGTGTTTGATAATCCATGGAGGGGCTTCAAGGACCCATTAATCCCGGTGTATATTAGCTCACTATGGTAGACATATGACATTAAATGGAATAGGAATATTATTAATTTTCCTGGATAATACTACTGTAACATCTGCTGTGCTCTGCTGCTTTTTTTTTTTTTTTTTTTTTTTGTTTACATCCATTCTTATAACACTTTCCTTTTCTTTCTCTGTTTGCATTGTCTCAACTCACCAATCATATACATATTTTTCAATAATGTATAAAATGACTATACAAAGTTTAATTTTAATGTGTCAGTAGGATTCTTGTTTTATGGATTCGGTGGTGGGTTAATTAATTGATACGTGCCTCTGTGTGTTTCTTCTCTGTGTGTTTGTTGGGGTGCAGCGTTGTAGACTGAGATTTTTTATTAAACAATTTTTTTTTTTTTTCAATTTAGTTTATCTTTGACTGAGATTTTTTATTTATTAAAGATTGATGATTTGCTTAAACTAATGTGAATGGGAAGTTTGAATAAGATTAATTTGTATATAAATTGGGACGTATAAATTTTAAAAATTGTGTAGTGTTCTCTCCTAAATTATATAGGTAGCAGCAGCAAGAATCATTTTATTAGGCAATCAAATAAAACCCACACAATTTGTATATAAACACAGTAGTTTTTGAGTTCTTTTGTGCTGCTTTGAGAATTAGTAGTATTTAAGTTCGAAACTACAAATTTATTTTTCCTTTTTAAGTGTGCTGTGCTCTCTTCGCGTATTAAAATTTGAAATAACAAAATTTTCCTTTTTGGTCAAATTTTTTTTCCCAAGTAACTTGCTCTGTGCAAGTGTGTCACTGTGTTGTGCTCTCTGCAAGTATTTATGTGCACTCTGCAAGTGCTGAATGACTAATAGAAGTGGTTCATCTCATTTCTTTTGCTGCTATATATACATATGTTAATTTTGTGTTTATGTTGTTTTTGGGTTCTTTAATTCAAAAGCTCTTAAGTCAGTTTACTTCTCTATATTTTATTTTAGGTACTCATATATGATATATATTGAATAAAACACTTAGCAGCTTCTCTATATTTTATTTTAGGTACTCATATATGATATATATTGAATAAAACACTTAGCAGCTGAGGAAGAAGTGATGCCAACAAGTAAAAACAATATTAGTTACAGGGAGAAAAAGGGCGAAATTAAGAGTTCGAATGCCTTTAATTAAGCAACATTGAGTATTTCTGTGTTTGAAATACCCTATATTTAAAGGGCAATTATATAGTAATAATGCAACCAAACAGATGTCCTTATTTGCATGATCATGTTAGTTTTTAAGATTAATTTTTCTTTTTAAGCATTGGGAGGGGATGGATATTGGGAGAGATTCAGAGAAAGAAGTTGAGAGGATTTGTGTGAGTATATAATATAATGTATACAAGATAGCATTAGACATTGACATTGCGTCAAAACAAATCAGGTTCACTCAGGAGTTTTAATTTATTTGTGCTGGAGGTTGGGTCGGGTTAAGCCTGTCCTATTATTATTATTATTATTATTATTTTATTTATTTATTTGTGAATTTATAAAAAATAAAAATAAAAATTTATACGGTATAAATTTTACCCTTATCACATATAGTTGACATTAATGAATATGACTTCTTGTGGGTATCTAATTGTATTGAAAGCATATATTATTTGCTTCATGATTGATACTATATATATCCTAGAAAATAACTCAATTTGTCATGATTCCTAGTATAGCCTGGTCACTCGCGTTGAGGTTTATATTGACTGGGTCAAGTTTTTCTCAAATTTATTACAATATTTTCATGAAGGCATAATTTATATGATGAAGGTATGTATAATACTCCGCTTTGTACAATATTACAATTTTAAAGACAAAATATGTCGTCATGGAAATATTTTCACCTCTCTAATTGTCGTATTAATATTAATACTACTATTAGTTAGTACACAGGTTTTCAAAAAGGAAAATGATAAGCATCAAAAATTGGGTTTTATGATTTTTATCAACATGGTAGTTGATTTGCTAGCCACATCCAATCCAGTGAAACGATGATGATATCTATTTTTCAAAATTTTCTCCATGAAATAGCTATTCTCCACTCTCTACTAAAATTCAATTATTTGAAGATGATTAACACTTTTTAATTAAAACAATCAAAATAAATATGTTCTATGTTTACATAGGAAAAAAAAAAAAAAAAAAAAAAAAAAAAAAAAAAAAAAAACCCTAAATTAAACAGTATTAGAGTTTTATTTTAGTACAATTCTTTACTAACAACGTATGAAGAACTGACACGTTAGTAACAATCAAAATAGATATGTTCTATGTTTACGTAGAAAGGAAAGGAAAAAACAAAAAAAAAAAAAAAAAATCCTAAATTAAACAGTATTAGAGTTTTATTTTAGGGAAAATTACATATAAATGGAGTCAAAGTTCCATATTTACTTAGAGGCTGAGTCAAAGTTCCATATTTCTCTAAAATGGATTGCTGAGGTGGCACATGGTTTTTTACTGTTTAAAAATTGTGGTGCCTAAAATACCCTTCCGCTAAGGTACTACTTTTTCTTCGAAGGTACTACTTTTTTGAACTGAAGGTACTACTTTTTGGTGTCCAGGTACCATGTTTTTTAAACACCCGCGAAGGTACTACTTTTTCTTCGAAGGTACTACTTTTTTGTTAGGGAAGGGCATTTTAGGCACCACAATTTTCTAAACAGTAAAAAACCATGTGTCACCTCAGCAATCCATTTTAGAGAAATATGGAACTTTGACTCCGTCTCTAAGTAAATATGAAACTTTAACTCCATTTATATGTAATTTTCCCTTTATTTTAGTACAATTCTTTACTAACAACCTATGAAGAATTTAGTAACAATCGAAATAGATATGTAAAAAAAACTCTTATAATATACAGTTCCCTCTGTGTATTTTAATTGAAAAAGACAAATCCTCATGGTTGTTCATCAAATTATTTCATTCCCATTCTCTCATGGAGGAATGAAATGAATCAGAAAATAGAATGGAAATAGAATGAGAATGGAATGACCATTCCTACTATCTCATTTGGTTATGCATGGCTTAAAATGAAAAACTAATCTATACTATTATTAAATGTGCAAAGTGTTTCAGTATTTCAGTATTTATTTATTTATATAAAAAAATATTTATTAATTGATATAAAAATAATTTTTTTAAAAATACTTTCTATAAAACTTTAAAAATTATCTAATAAAATCAATCACATTCTATATAAAATTCTTATTTTTAGTTATTTTTTATGGATAATTATAGTTACTATAAAACTCTAAAAATTACCTAATAAAATCAATCACATTCTATATAAAACTCTTATTTTTAGTTATTTTTTATAGATAATTATCACAATATAATAGGCCCGACCCAATTATGATTATGTCTTTCTCAAAAAAGAACACATGTCATCGAGGAAGGAGGAAGGGGTATAGAAATTGAGAATTCTAGAAATCCAGAATTCTAGAGTAAAATACAGAAGCTCTGCTAAAGAGTTTCAGTATTTCAATATTTATTTATTTATATAAAAAATATTTATTAATTGAATTAAATTTCAGACTAAAATACAAAAGCTCTATCAAGAGTTTTCAGTTAGACAAGTATATATTTAAAGAAAATAAAATAATTTCAATAAAACTCTATTACAAATTACATATTTTATTATCAATAAAACTCTATTAAAAAAGATATATTTAAAGAGTTTGTATAAAACTCTAACACAAATTATCAATTTATCATGAGTTTTTTAATAAAAGGAAACCTAATTAGACAAGTATTATTAATATAAAAAATTATTTATTAACTGATACAAAAGGAGGTTTTTAAAGAATTTTAAAAACACAAATTACCTATTTATCTATACTATTATTCGATGTGTAAAGAGTTTCAGTATTTATTTATTTATGTAAAAAAATATTTATTAAATAATATGATAAAACACTAAAATCTATATAATAAAATTTAAATTAAACTATTTATCTATTTATTATTATCAATTTTTTAATAAAATATATCTAATTAAACAAGAATTATAAATATAAAAAATATTTATTAATTGATATATAAAAGAAAATAATTTTTATATAACTCTACTATGAGTTTCTTAATAAAATTAAATCTAATTAGACAAGTATATATTTAAAGAAAATAAAATAATTTTTATAAAACTCTATTACAAATTACTTATTTTATTTTTCATAAAACTCTATCAACAGAGTTTCTATAAAACTATAACACAAATTACCTGTTTATCTATTTATTATGAGTTTTTTAATAAAAAGAAACCAAATTAAACAAG